CTTCTTATTCCCGAGTAAAGGGAAGAAAAGTTTGGCAGGCTCCATGCTGTGCACTTGATTGATGTCCAGAACATCTGAAGGACTTTTGTGTCCTGCTTGCTCTCCATGAGTGCATAATGTGTGAATACTTAAGGAAGGTCAGCCCTTATCACATGTAATCTAGGCCTGAAAGCAGATCAGCAGTGACAGTCATATCCCGTAAGTAAGGACACAAATCATCCTCTACATGCTTTAGACAAGTTGTGGGATATTTTGTCTCTCTTTTTACCCCTTCCCACTCATGGGGGACCTTGGCAGAGCAATGAAAGCGGAGAGGAGACGTGCTCAGAATAATGTGTCACCCTTTCACGGGAGGAAGGGATTGTTTATTTGTAATGATGTGATGGTCTTTCACTGTGCAGCTGAGGGGAGCTCTGGGTTGTTAATGACTAGTGATGTGGAATGCTGCAAATTAGACCGGGGTTGGGAGGCAGCAAGCAGACTGAAAGCAGACCGAAGTTGTGGTCTTTAGAAACTCCAAAGTCAGGGGGAAAGTTTTTATACCTTGAATTCTATTGTTTTTTTTTTTTTTTTTTCCTTTTTGCCCTCATAATAGGGTAAGGGTTTTTGTTTTGTTTTGTTTTTTAAATGTCAGTGGTTAGTTGAAAATCAGAATAACAATATAAATTACGAGTAGAATTCTGAATGCTGCGTTCTGTTTTCGGCACAACACATGAAAGTTTGAAAAGTATTTTAGTGCAAGACCATGGAATGGTGAAGCCTGAAAATGCTATAACTTTCAATAGGAAGAAGGCAATAACTATTGTTTTTAATGCCTGTTTATTTGAACAGAAGTTTAATTAAAAGTTGATTTTATTCCAAACAATTTTAGCAAGGATGTGCAAGTAACAAAGAGAATAACTTATTATTTCCCATTAAGGAAAATTAAGAATTTTGTTGTGTTTTCCTGTATAAAAAGGAAAATATTTTCATATTATTCCTGAAACTTTACTGTTTAAATTCAGCTGCAAGAAGTAGTCTTTGCAGTCAGTTTATACAATAGAAAATAACCTATATAGATGCCTCCAGAAACAAGGAATTGTTTTCCCATGTCTGTAGGATAAAATCAGAACTTGTACTTAATGGGGTATGAGTCCTCTCCAACTGCTCCCAGTCTGCTCCTCCAGCCTAGTTCCTGCTCTGTAGACTGATCCAGTTTCTCATGTCCGCTACTCATAAATGTCTGTGCTGACTTTTCTTTTTGTGTCGTATTTCTTGGCCCTCCCTTCACCCACTTATCTTTGAAGACCTGGTTCAAATGCTTCTCCCAGCGAGTTCAGCCCCCACCCTTGGGCAGAATTAATCCCTGCCATACTTTTCTGTTCCTTCAGCACAGGGGGCAGACACTTGACTGCATTGTCACTGTTTGTTTGCCTATATGTGTCTTTACCCATGACAAGGTAAGCTTTTTTCTAAAACCACGTGCTGGCTTTTTAATGTCCTCACATCTCATTCATTAGACACAGTCCCCCCAAATGTAGCAAAATGTGAATGTTTGTGAGAGAGTAAAAATCTACATATACATAAAACCAGGAGGTTTGAGTGATTTCTATGTGAAAAAGTCACAAATTGAAATTGGTAACAAGATAGTCTCATTTAAAAATGATTTTTATACTTCTCCAAATGCATGAAAATTTAATGAATTAAGTAAGAATAAATTGGCTAAAATATACTTTTAAATTTGAATATAATTTGAATTTTCTTAAAACTTAAGGCATATTTTGATAAAAATAATAAGCAGTGATGACATGTCCTACTCATATTGTGTAATCTCTGTACTGAGCCTTTTTTCCTCTTCTTGCTTTTCTCTCAGGTTTGCATTTTCAAAGTAAGACCTTTTTTTAAAAAATTTTCTCTTAGAGCTTTCATTGAGGCCTCACTTAGTGTGTAAATTAACCTGTAGAATTAAGTTGGCTGTGCTAAAAGCTGAAGAACACCTCAGGCTTAGGCATGCTGTTCCCCTTTCCTGTATTTCTGCTTATAGATAAAACACGATTCATTGGAATAGAAAATGTTGGGCAGTTCAGGGAGGCAAGGGTGATAGTTCACCAGCAGGTACACAACCCCTGGCAGTGTTGGCTCTAGGTATAGAAGTCAGCTCCACTCTTAGGAAACCAGGGTGCAGATTTAACTGCACTTATTGATCTGGTACACTTAGATGACTAATTAGATTGGATTTTAGAAATGGAAACATTAACTGTGGCTAAAATGGTATACAGTAGGGTGAGTGGATTAAATCCTATGCAAATCTGGAATGCATGTCTGGCCAGCTTTCTGATGAACACAACAAGAGATTTATTAGGGTTTTTGAGACCTGATTATTGTATGCATTTTAAAAGAATATCTACTTTATGACCAGCACCCACCAAACAATAGAGGAAAAAAACCAATAGGGGTACATCTTGAATTTCTTCCAAGAAAGAAATCTATATTAGTGGAGTAGAAACCTCTCCTTAATGTTTTTATCTAATCTTCATTTCTCCCCATTCAGTTGGAAATTGTGTTCAGAGATTTATGCTACATGCTGAAGTTTTGAACCTTTTTTAAAAAATTTTAATTCATCAAGCCAGTCAGTTTCTCAAAAGCCTTTAGTTACTTGTTTATTATATAGTCTCAACTCTGTAACCTGTATTCAGAGTCCTGCACAATCTGGTTCCACTCTGTCTAGCTTTCTTTCCAACTTACAAATAGGAGCTGTCTGTTCCAGTAAGGTTTTTCTTCTCGTGCTGTTGCACTAATGAAATATTTATTCTTACATCTAAATCTTGCTCATTTCTCCTTCTCCACCTTCTGTGCTACTGTATACGTTGTTCAATACATCTTTCAGCAGCCAGCTTTCCCTTCAGTGTTTGGCCTAGGCTCATCTGTCCCCTACTCTGAATGTCCATGTATGTTCCTTTTGGAGGTACTTCATCTTAAAAGATGTAGCTTTTTTCTTAATTATTATATGATTTTTTTTTCCTGTGATGTTTTATGTTTCGTGAGCGCATCTGCTTGAGCTAGCAAACAGTTAAATATCAGAACAAGTTGTTGACATAAGTTGGTTTGAATTGAATTGGGATTCCGGGGGTAGAGTAAGATTCTCTATGCTTTGAACCATTTATAGATATCCATATCGAGGACGTGGGAGCAGTGGGAGCTGTCCCACATTTCAGCCATTCACTCCTTGCGCTAACACTCAATGCTTGTTTCCAAACTGGCCGTGGAACCATGTTGTGAATGTGGCTCTGAGCCAGACAGAGATTTGAACAAATTCAGTTGTTTGATTTTTGTCTGTTTTTCCCCACTTATCACCCACCTCTCCTGATTATCACTATTTATTTTACTATTTCAAAATCTCCTATCAAAGAGGGATACTCATAAATGACACTGAAAGACAACCCCTTTTCACTACTCCCAACTGCCATTTTCCCAACAAATAGGTTGCATGGCTTCTGCAAAATGCGTGCTTCATTAAGTTCTGAATATTCAAAGATTTCTTAGGTGACTAAAAATACTATATTTCTGTTAAATTTTGTCTTATGAAAGTGTAAATTGAAATAGTGTTGGATTGATTGCAGTATTTGTAATATTAGGGAGCCCCCAAATTATTTTTTCTAAGGTGAAAGGTGATTTGAATGTCCCTTGTAGGGTAGTGCTTAGGGGTACAAGGTTAGGTGGAGGTGTGTGTGTGGGGGGTCTCTTTTAAAAGTGAGAAGAGAGTGGAGATATTTTTCCCCAAGAAAATGATTCCAAAAGTATCAAACATATCATCATGATATCTTAGATATAATCATTGAAATATTTCTGCTTCTATATCCATAAATCCTGTATCAGGCAAGCTGATGAGGTTTAATAATTATTTCTTTTGTATCTGTATTGTAGTTTTCACAGTTATGACAATTTAATTACAGTTCTTGTTCTCCTTATATTGGAAGTCCTCAGAGTAAAAGAAAAGAATATTTTTTTAAAGACCCTTAGTGTTGAAAAGAATTATTTAACATTAAGGAAAATGAAACCTTCCAAAAATGTTCACAGTTTGCATTGAAACATAGTTATAGTCGAAATCTAAAAAGTTGAATAACTTATATTGGTTTTATTATATAAGATTGATTAGATCCTCAACAGTTTGTTTTCTATTCAGGTAACTTAAAACTGTTATTATTTAGAATTAATTGATAAGTGAGAAGCATAACTCTGAAATATGTTAACTTGTAGTGCTCATCAGTGATGTCTTACAGCTGACCTTTTATCATTATCTGTGCACTCAATTCAAAAGTATTTGCTTCATTATTTAAATGTTGATGAGGAGTGTAAGAAAGCTGCTGAAACATGACACTTGGATGTGTTGCACTATTTGTCATTTCATCAAAGGGAAAAAAAATTCTCCTTTCTGCATTTCTCAGTTACAATTCTCTGCTGAGGAAAAAAAAAAAAAATAGAAAGAAACAAGCTCTTTTCTGACAGTAAAGTGTAAGTGTGGTCTGCTGTGGATTCCCTCCTAGCTGCTCAAGAGATTTGGTGGACCAGGGTGTTGCCAGTGCAGGGTGAGGCCCCCTCCTGTGTTGGCCCTTGTGTGGGCAGCTGGGTCAGGCTCTTTTCTTAGGAAAACAATCCAGCTCGGGGGTCCTCACCGCCTTTTGTTGTCCTCCCCTCGAGGTGATCAGTTGAAGTCTTGGTGGTGACAGAACCAGTTTGTAACAGGCTTGTCTTTCAGGGTCCTGTCTCAGGCTTGCTGGCAGACTTGCCGGAAGATCTGACAAGAGTGGCAGCAGAAGAGTCTCAGTCAGAGAAGGCCAAGCAAGGAACAGGAGGCGTAAGCAGGCAGGTCACAGTGACTGCTCCCCTGCTGCAGTGGGTTGGCTTGAAGAACCAAACTGGCAGCTTCACATTTCCTTGCTCATTCTTCTCTCTGTGCATGCGAGGGGTAAGAAGATGAGTGCCATACCACAGTGCTGACAGGGAGCTGAGTTAGTATCTGATTTTGTGGCGTTTGTCACAGAAGGGAAAGTTCAGGGCAGAGGCTCCATGGCTAAAAATTTCCATCCCCTATCCTCCAACTGCTCTGTAATTTTTACAACTTTCTCTACTAGGGCAAAGCTTTCTAGGTAATCTATTAGAATAACTGTAAAGGGATTTAAAGTTTCTGTTTTCTCTAATAGGAATCAAATATGATCCAGTTTGAAGCTTTGAGAATGAAGTTAATTTTTAACAAATTGTGACAGTTTGTGTTTAAAGTGCTTAAGATAGTAACAATTCTAGCAAACTTTGTTGTGATTATGGTAATTTGAATACTGTTAGATTTTTATAAGTTAGCTAATTAACTTTTAACTTCATTGCAATTTTTATATCGATGCACTGAGTCAATCTGTAAGTTACAATGACAGTAATTATGGCTTGTGAATATATGAAATGTTTGTCAACATTTAAGCACAGGGGCTTGATTGGCAGTAATTTTGTCCAGAAAGATCATTTCTCATATCAAGTTAATAAAAGCAGTTTTTAAAAATCATTTTAAGTTTTTGAATAAAAGAAAGTTCAAGAGTAGTTGAACTGTTTTCAAATTAGAAAATAGGTAACTTAATGAATATGAAATGAATATGGTGTTAGTAATTGCAGTGAAAAAGTCATGATGTTAGATAGAAATTAAAAATGATGATTTTATAAAATTAAGCCAGATAAATAAAGGAATATATATGAGAATGAAATGCATTTGTAGTTGAACTTTTTATGTACTTCTGAATGTGTTTCATAGAACTAATTTGGCTATATTATTTATGCAGCAAGTATGTATTATTAGTTGGCATATACTTTTAATCGACACAGGATTAATATTTCCATAGTCTGCAAGTATTTTCTGTGACACTATGAAAGTGTATTTTATGACTTGGCTCTAGGGAAAAATGCTTTGAATTTCTAGTGTAGATAATTGTAACTCAAAGGAATTTTGTGCATTGATATGCAGGAATGATAGATAGATCATTTACCTCATTCGCTAGTTTAATTCTTATCATCTCCTACCTTCTAGAAGAGCACTGAAGGATCTCAGAATTAAAATTAAATTATTTTTAAGAAAGTTCCAGGGAGCTCAAAGCATGATACACATAAGGTAAAATTCTTATTCCTTTCTTCTAGTTACTGTTACTACTACTCTATTGTCTGAAGGTAATTTTGAATTTTCTTTTGGAATTTTCCTCCAAACCCGTGAATTCCTTAATTCGCTACTGAATTAAGCCAATGAAAAGCAGAGGCCAGATGCTGCATACAGAATCTTTGATCATGTTTCTAGTCTCTTACAATATTCCCTAAAATAATGTTGTAAATATATATACGTAATAATGTTGTAAATATATGTATATAAATATATATATATATATATTTTTTTTTTTTGAAGTAATGAGGTTGAAGCCCAGAGACATTCCCTGCTTTCCTCTAGTTATGTAGTCTTAAAACAAAAACAAAACAAAACCAGAAAACTCCCTGTCCAGGACTCTTTTGTGTGTGTGTTTGTGTGTACCCCAGTATATACTGCTATTTATCTTGTAGCCTGGTGGTGAAGACTATGAATTCTGGACCCACGATGTCTGGGTTTAATTCTGCTCTGTTGGTTACTAGATGAGTGAACTAATATTAATGTCTTAAATTTCTCTACTGTAAAATGGCAATGATAATTATATTTACCATAGAATTCATTTATTTTTAAATGAATAAACATACCTAAGTACTTAGAATAGTGTCTGGTGCATGTGTAATATTACCAGAGAGTTTGCAATCATAAATACAATCATTAATAATTATCTTATGCTCAAACTGAGAGGCAACAAAGTTGGAAATGTACATTGAAACAAGATTGTGAACAATCTGTTAGTTCACTTTAATGTGATTAGTAGCCTGAATCCCAATTGACATTTCAAACTTTGTCACCAATTAACTTTATCTTTTTTTTTTTTTTTTGAGGAATTTCCCTATCAATAAGGTTTTAGAAATGAACTTGGGTACTTGTGACTTTTTCCTGATGAATACAGAATGTGCTATAGAGATTTTGAATTGAACCTGTTAAGCATCTTTGACTACTGAAGTGCAGTATTCACTGACAACTTGTTACATGCTTTACAGTCATTAATTCTGCAGCCACTTCAGTGAGAATGATGATCGCAAAATCAAAATAAAACAAGAAAAAGGTGAATATGAAGCACAGGTAAATAAAATGGCCATGACACTTAAGCGGGTGACAAAGCTGAGATTAATATTCTTAGGCCTTAAATCCTTGTTTAGAGTAAATGTGTTTCAAAATAACAAGTAGAGATATTTGGAGAGAGTGAGCTTTGGGCTGATAGAAGTATTTCGTTAATCAAATGCATGGAGACCTAAACATTTTATGTGGAAGAAATCTGCATGGTACTGCAGCTCCACTCCAAATGTCGCAAAAGCTGCATACAGTCCCAAGTGGAGAGAACACTTTGTACTTGGGGTAGTAGTAATAGTAGACTGTGTATAGGGACACACATAGCCTAAATCTCATCACTGCCTAAATCTTATCTTGAATGTTAAGTAATGAGCAGTCACAGTCTTAGAAAAAAAGAAGCAAGAGTACATCTTGGTAGGGGTTTTGAATTTTATGTTTTTTGTTGGCATGCTGTGATTGCTTCAAGTATGCATTTTTAAAGCTAGAGATCCTTAAATGTGACATTATCTTTCTGAATGTGAAAATATGATCTGCAATGGTGAAAATCTGTAGTGCTCATTTTTACTTAAAATCAGTTATTTAAAAAATTGAGCTACTTATACTACTCTGCCCCTTTATTTTCAAGGCATAGTAGAGAGCCTCTGAGTCCTAATGAATGTGATGCAATGTGTAAACAGCATTGAAATATTCTTTTGGTCACTACCATTATTCTTAAGTTCTGCTAAGGGAATTTAGTAGAGTTAGATAATGCTAAACTGATAAACCTAAAAAAGTGAATACGCTGTGTTTGTTGTTCTACACATTGGCAGATACAGTGTGCCCTTCCTGGCAAGAATGGGCCTCACGTTTTGGCATTTAGAAAGGTGAAATTTTTATTTGGCTATATTATATTGCTAAATGTACATGTGAAATTTCCTACAACCCCCTCCACAAATGAAAGTATGTTAATAGGTTATTATAGTGATACAATTAATATAAGAGTTAGCAGCCATCTTTTAATCTCTAGTTTAAGAATGGTTCTACATCATTGGAGATAGTTAACACCAAAAAATGGTGAGACAGGAAGTAGGAGTCAGCTCTCTTTGAATACAAAACAAACAGATTCCAATCTCCATGGCCTCTATAGTTTTATAGATTTTATATCCTGTCTGTCCATTGTCAGGTCATATCCCCATAGTTTTCCTTAATGTGTAATATTCATATCTGCCCTAGCTGACGCTAATTCAAAATTCAAAATTGCTGTTATAAAATACTTCAATAAAAAATAGTTCAAATAGGTAATCCAGTAACAGGAAGATAACAAACAGGGCTATGAATGCAGAGTTTCAAAATTACAGTGGTGATATTGCTATAGGGTGTCAATATTTGGTAATATTTTTTCAGTGAAAAATGATCCTTGTTACCATATGGCAAAATATAGTGAAAATCTGAACTGTTAGACCAACACAGCTGTTAAATGCATCAATGCAGTGCTGTGTTTAAAATGTTTTCTACTGCCTCTATTATTCGGCATTTCTAACAATTAATCTCAGGCTATTAATGGGCAGTAACTGCAAGTTGTGGTGAGCATCACAGATGTAAGAAATCTGATCTCTGTGGTAAGTTACCTAGGAGGAAAATGACTGAACTATAGCTTTCAACCTAAGTTCTATAGATTGGATAATAAACATTTATAGAACTATGTACTACAGACTCAAATCATATTTGATTTAACTTTTTTATGAGAAGTCATTCTTTAAAAAAGTGATGGAAATCACACATGTGGAAGTCTTATATACATATAAATATCTGTGTATATATAATTTAATCATATATTCATGAAGGCTATGAAAGAATAACTGTATTAGAAACATCATAGTAATATTAATTTTTTTCTTCTCTAAGCCAATTGAATTTGGAATGACATTCTAGAAATCTTCTATTGATTTATAACTGATAGGAACAAATCTATGGATTTTTTTTTCTAACTTTTCAAGTGCATATCTATTTTTATAATTCATACAAGAAATTGAGCAAAGACTCAAGAGAAAGTATCAACTATTATAGGAAAATGATCATAATCAGATAAATTTTCTGTCACTACATTACTTATGCTACAGGTTAGATCCAGATGGACTCTGTTGGTCTTTTCTACTACTAAACTTTCTATACTTTTTTTTTCTTCTTAAAAACAAGTGATTTTGTGAGGTGGGTTTTTAGATTTTGGAGTGTGCACATAGAATAACCTAACCTCACTCTTACACTAGACCCCTCCACAATTTTAACTTTGAAGAAGCTGTGGCTTTTCAGTGAACTGATTTCTCTACTTAATACCATCTCCATCACATTTCTTTTATTATTAACTATTCATATAAAATCACATTATTAGTATGGATATTTTGGTTGTAGAGAGCAGAAGCTTTAGTAGAAAACAAAGTTGAATGTAGACATGAAGAAAAACTAAAGGAAACTTGGGCCTCCCGAGAAGGCCGAGAAGTGAGCTTCTACTCTGTATCTTTTTGAGGGCCTTCCTGGGCAGTCTCTCCTCTCATGCCCTGCCCCTTGTTTAATTGCTTCTTTTTAGTTATACATGACAATAGAATCCATTTTGATGTAATTACAAAAGCATGGAATATATCCTGTTCTAATTCAGTCTTCTCTTCTTGCTTATGTTCTGATTCCTACTTTTCTTTTGGTCTAATAAAATTCCTCAGACACTCCTTGGATTTAGGATATAATGCAGATCTTTATTTTGGTGGGGGAGGTGGGTATCAGAGGTTAAACTCAGGGACACTCAACCACTGAGCAACATCCTCAGCCCTTTTTGTATTTTATTTAGAGACAGGGTCTCATTGAGTTGCTCAGGGCCTCGCTCAATTGCTGAGGCTGGCTTTGAATTTACAATCCTCCTGCCTCAGCTTCCTGAGCTGCTGGGATTATAGGCATGCACCACTGGGATTACAGGCATGCACCACTGCGCCTGGCTAAAATGCAAATCTTTGTATGGCCCACAGGGTTTGGTATCAGCTGCCTCTGACTTGCTTTGCATCTCATGTCACTTCTCATTAAGCAACAATTAGATATACCTTTTACTGTTTTTTTAAAAAAATCTAAAACTTTTTCTCACTCACATATTTCACATGTACTATTTCTACCGTCTGGAAAGTTCTTTGCCTTTCTTCTTTGCTTATCCATAGGCTAAATGTCATTGAATTTAGTTTTCCTTAAGAGTGCAAATTGAGATTCCCTTGATAGAATCACTCCCTGTAAATTTTATTTTTCTTTTGTAGTTCGCATCATGATTTATTATTATATAGGTCTCTCTCCTGACAGGTGCTTGCTTCTCAAAAGAAAAAGCTCTGTCCATTTTGTTTATAGCTGTCTCTGGAGTGTACAGCACAGGTGTTCCGTGTAGAGGAGTCTGCCTCCTGGATATCCTCAGTATTTCTTATATGACCATCAATAGTGAAAAGTCCCTGGTGTTCTGAGACCTTTTCACTTAGATCTCCAGAGTGCAGTTATAAATGTTTCATTGTTGTTTGTTTGTTTTGGAAGTGCTGGGGATCAAATCCAGAACCTCACACAGGCAAGAATTCTACCACTGAACTGTACCTCAACTTTTTATATTTCATTTTATTTAATTTTTTAAAATTTTTAGTTAGGGTCTCACTAAATAGCTGAGACTGTCTTGAACTTGTGATCTTCCTGGTTTAGCCCCCCAAATAGTGGGCATTATAGGCCTGTGCCATCATCATACGTGGCTGTTTCACTGTCAAAATATTTTCAAATTTTGAGAAGGATTTGATTGGCTGCTGACCCTTAGAATAATCATATGTAACCCAGCTGTACTATGTAATTGCCCAATACCAGGATGCCACTAGATGATAATAACCACTGTGGACATGTGCAGTTTTTCTGGAAGAAGTTTTGGATTAGGTTGATGATCAGAAACATTTAATATAACTACTACTGTCAGTTATAACAATATAAATATTCCTAGTATTCTCTTGTTTATGATTAAAGAAGCTACTATTGGTTACTAATTAATTATTTTGGCTGTTTAAAACATTTAAAAACACTTTAATATTTCTCACTCAAACTTAAGTATTTAGGAACTGTTATAACCAATTATTAAGATAATATATTTCTCCAGTTAGTATAGAATTATTTTATCAGTAAATGAAGGACTAAGTGATTAGTTTGCTCAAAGTGTGAAATATGATATATCAAGAACTATGTAATGTTTTGAACAACCAACAATAAAAATTAAAAAAATAATAATAAAAATAAAAAATAAATAAAAAAGAAAAGAAAAAGGTGAAGTTTAAGCCAGACATGTTGGCACACTCCTGTAATCCCAGCTATCAGGAGGCTGGGGCAGGAGGATCACAGTTTCCAAGCCAGCTTATGCAATTTAGTGAGACCCTGTCTCAAAATAAAAAGAGCTAGGTATGTACATCAGTGGTAGAGTGGAATGTCCCTGGATTCAATCCCCATTAAAAAATCATGTTATCAAGATGGTGGCAGAAATAATATTTGAAACAAGCAGAGTCCTGACTTGACAGATTTTAGTTCTGTAAAATTGTTAAGTATACTTTTCACTGCTTTATTAAAATAATGGTTGCAAACATTGTGTCTCATAAAGAACATCATGCATTTGCCATTTATAGTCCCTGAACAGGCCATGAATTTTAGGCTAGCCCTGTACATCATTTATTTGATCAGCTTCTTATAATGTAGTATGTGAAACTATGCTTCTGATCTCAAGAAAGTTAATGTGCATTTCTATCTCACTTTTTAAAAACTTTATGAGTACATGTTGCAAAATGATTTTGGTTCATAGTTTTCTTTGCTCTACAGTACCCTGTGGTATATAATGTCTCCATGTTCATCTTGGTATCTTCATGATTTTCACGGGAGTTTTATATGTATGGAAATAGCAAATTAGAATACTTTTTCGTCAGTTGTGTAACTTCAGTGTTGTGGGAACTAAATGGTTGAGAGGCATCAGTCAAATTTGAGAAAGTTAAAAA